AGTAAGGGCAGCCGCCGTCGGCGAGCGCGAGAGCTGCATGATCCTCTCACAGGCAGGAAACACATCACATGGCGGTCCCCGTCGCTGAATGTGGATCGGCACGAGCCACAGGAGGATGGCGTCTTTACAAAGACGCGGCTCTTTTAGATGATAGAAGTGTGAGTCGCGGGGCGAGCACACACACACACACATACACACAGAGCAGAGTAAAGGATATATAGTGCGCCGGAAAGCGCAGCAGGTACGGCAGTTGAAGGCGGCGAGGCCAGCGACTCCAGAAGCTCGTCCCGCTGAAAGCTTGCGTCGACGGCGCGGCTTCTCACTCCGGATCCAGCGATGCGAGAGGCTTCGCTGAAGAGATGAAAATCAGTGTACCAGCCTTATCGAGCTATATTTATAGGGCGAGACCACGCCCTTTCTGGCGGGACGTGACGAAATGGGCGCGAAATGCCCCCATTGGATATGGTATCACGCAGCGCCTCTCTCGATAGGCTGCTGCTGTTGCAGCAGGGCAGCCAATGGGCGCGCGAGCCGTCCTGCCTATGTCTGCATGCTGCTGCACAGCGTTTTACATTAATTCAAAATTAAGGATAATTTTTGGCTTCAATATCTCGTGGAAAAGAGGTTTTCCCCATAGCGTAAGATATTACGCAGTACGAGAGATACTCTCGTAAGAGAACTATTAGTTTTACTGAATTACTGAACTATTTTAACTTTAACTATTACTGAATGGTCTATTACTTTTCTATAATTGCTATAGACCTACAGACTCTCTATTGATGCACATTCATTTAATTCTGAATTTTGCACACATAAGTTTAAGGGCATTTGTTTGTACATAGTAAAACATATCTGCAACATTTATCAAGTTCACAGATAATTGTGCGTGCATGTATTAATCATTATGATACTAAAATCATAATAAAGGCTAGGCCTATACTACAAAAAAATCAGATGAGCCCAGAATATGAACCCAATGCATTTAATTAAACGTTTAGCATTTTCCTCCCATAGAAAACCATTATAAATAGCAAGTTATTATGTCGAAATAACGAGATATTATATCGAAAGAACAGATATTATGTCGAAAAATAACGACGTGACGTCACATGGGGCGGGGCAATGCGAACCTCTAAACTCCACCTGAGTCCGTTTTGCCCGATGCCTTTTAGTCTGATGCCTCTTTGTCTGATGCCTTTTAGTCTGATGCCTCTTTGTCTGAGGCCGTTTCGTCCGATGCCTTTTTGTCTGAGGCTGTTTTGTCTGATGCCGTTTCGTCCGATGCCTTTAAGTCTGATGCCTTTTTGTCTGAGGCTGTTTCGTCTGATACCTAATTGTACGAGACCTGACACCTGACATTGTTTTTCCTGAGACCTGAAGCTTTTCAGTCTGAGGTGCGATGCCGTTTTGTCCAATGACTGAAGCCTTTTAGTCTGAGGCATGATGCCTTGTTTTCATATGTCTGAGGATGTCCTAAAATTTACACCGTACTGTCCCCTCAAATAGTGCCCTATTTAAGGGTATAGGGCGTGATTTCGGACACAGCCTGTCTTTGTTTCACTGCAGTTTTAAGGAGAAAATACTTAGTAATGGTGTTGACTGATGAATTTGTACAGGGTTTGTCTTAAATCACATTAAAAACACTACATAGGCATTGTACAAAAATTACACTCTTTTGGGAAGAAATAAGAGACATTATTCAAAATATTATTTCCAAACAAATAATATTAGAACCAAAATTGTTTCTTTTGGGCTTATATCCAGAGAAGCATAACTATACTAAAAATGAACGTACATTTATAGACCTTAGTCTGCTTAATGCCAAAAGATGTATAGCTTTATTTTGGAAAAAAAAATGTAGACCAAGAGGCACTTTCTGGTTACGGCAGATGCTGTCTGCTCTGCCACTAGAGAGGATTACATATGTGCTAAAAGGCAAACAAGAACTATTTGAGAATATCTGGAATACTTTTATTGAATATGCCAAAGATTTGGATTTAACAGATGACAATGACTGAGATGTGTGGACACTGCAGTTCACTTCTGGACAATAATTTGTATCACTTGATTTGTACAACTCATTTATTTTATTTTATATCTTTTATTTTAAAGAAAAGTGGTGAATATCTGTAGGTTGTTGCATTGTACAGGGATGGCTTTCTGATAGGCATTGTGGTTGTTTGTCTTGTGTTTGTGTATGCACAAAACTTAATATTCCGGCAAAAAAAAAAAAAAAACACTACATAGACATAACATTAAAAGCTTGATTTTCACCACAGGGGGACTTTAAAAAAAATATTTGCACTAAACCCAATCTTTTACAGTGGACCCTGATTTCATAATTTTCAAAAATCAACTAAATAACCATGTTTTATGTAGTCAAAATAATAATCATGTAGAATACCACCCTCTCCATTGTGTGCCTATGTTTACTCTTCCGCCTGCCAAAAGTGGCACACATGCCTAAGGTTTAGACCCCTGATTTGTGTTAGCTAGATGCTAAAATGTATGATGTACATGATTGCAGTAAAGCAGTCTGTGTGGTATGAAATTAATATGTAATTTTATGACAGTAGGTCTACTTTCACATCGCCAAAGTAGCAAAAATCTGCAAATTGAGATTTAGCTATTTAGTTGGAATGATTTTTTATGATGGTCATTAGCCTGGACAGAAGCTACTGCATCAATCATCTAAACCCGTGTGCTAACAGATACAAGCCCATGCTTGTTTTAAATGCTGTGATCTTTCACACCCTGGCTTAGTTAATGAATCTCAATGAGCTCTCACGGTGTGAGTAGAGCTCATGTCATACACTACACTAACTGAGTGAGTGTTACTCCTCCCCAGCATATTATCATCTCAGAGCTAACGAAAAGCCTAATGAGTGTAATAAGAACGGGGAAACGGAGCACAGACAATGCTCATGGGATGAGGCGGCTCAATGCTGTGATTTTAACTTTATAATTGCTGTAATTGTTGTGCCTTCGTGATGTTTCCAGAAGCCAATGATAAACTCTTCGATCTGGACTCATACTGACCACAACAGACCTAAAGAAGCCACAAAAGATCTGCAATAGACAGTAATGTCATCTTCTATTGACACGTCATGCTAGTCATTTTCATGTCAGTCCCTATGTAGCGCTTACTAATGACTGCACTGTACATTAATGAGTAATTTTAGATGTCTCATGGCAGTAGAATTATAGGCTTTATGCTGCTACAATAAAGCCCCCCATCACACAAACCCCCTAACTCGACTTAGCCAAGAAAAAAGAAACTAATAACTGTCACCGATTGAGACGAAGGCTATAATCAGGTTCCTCCTGTGTTTTAAAAAATGGTTGCTTAGCGCTGTCACCAGTAAAGTGGCTGTGATTTCTAAGATTATTGTGTTTGCTGTTCTTTGTTCACGTTGTATTTTTTCTTTGTCGGATAAGAAAATGCTAATGTATGCTTCATTTACTCTAGTTAAAAGGAAGGGAGGAATAAGGGGGTGGAGAAGGATAAAAAATTAAGTATAAATGAGATTAACTTCAATGGATCAAGGGCTTGTGTGCCACTATTTACAGTAGTTATTTACTATTTATAATAAAAGATTACTGTAGTTTTAAAGGATTGTCACTGTAGATTATAAATGGCACTACAAGTTCAGCAGCAGTTAAAGGGATGATTAATTTCTGAGGCTTAATTCCTGGAAAGCATCCAATTAGTTCTTGCTAAACAATTTACTGGAAAATCATGGCAGTGTTCTCATTTATAAACAGCATACTGTAAATGTCATGAACTGGATTTTGTGCTCAAATTCAGGACTCACATGTATAATTGCATGTAATGTGCATAGCATGTTCAGAACTAGATTTTATGTGGAACAACATATTAAATTCCTGTGCAAGAGTGATAAACAGTTTTTAACAATTTGTCCTGTTATTAAAAATAATGTAAGATAATTTTATCTTTGATAATTAAATGGACAGACTTCTTGCAAAGTTAATTACATGATTTAATTGAATTTAATGGTAATTAAAGAATTATTTTATGACAGGCTCACCGTACTGTCACGTTTTCAGGAATTAATCAGGTTAATAAACTGAGAGGCGTCTGCCAAGAGCCAACCCAACAAAAAATCTGTAAAATTGTTTTTACTAGTTTTTATATGTTTTTTTTATTGGAATAAGAGGCTTTATTCATATCAAGTCCGGATGAGACGGAAGTAGCAGCAGATCTTTTCTTCCAGATTTTGACAAGCCCGAGTGTAACGGATTATCGAAAAATAAAAAAATGTAGGATGGGGACTTGGTTCTATCTGTCAGTGGTTGATTGGATTTTGAGATGTGGGTGTGGCACTCAAAAATGGAGGCAGATGAACTCGAGCTTGCAGGGACGGGGTTTAAGTCCTGCATACGTCATTCAAATTACGAGAATAAATAAATGAAACATGCACGGATGAATCATCCACAATAAGACCAATAACATGCATTTAGAAAATGCATAAGGTGAATTTTCATTTCATGCCGACTTAAAGTGTCATGTATAGAAGGAACATGGTCTATAAACATGCATTGTGAATTACATGTATTACCATAAAAAAAATGTGATATAATAAATGTGATGACGTCTGGACTAGAATTGGACTTTTTTTTAGGTTCTGCTGTGTGTGCGCGCGGCGCCCTCGTTCACAGTCTGCTCTGTGACAAAAAAAATTAAATGCATCTACTAACATAAAGCTGCAATTTTATTTTATGTTTGATGTTATATAATGCTGTTTTTCTCTGGCCTGTGTATGTTAATTTTTAAGTTTGATGAGTTTTTCCGTTTGTGTTTGTTAGACTCAGCATGATCCACAATTTTATATTTTTTCTAGTGTCACACATAGGTCATAATACTCTTGTACTCTTGTTGTTTTTTACACTCAATGTCCATTTGATTGCCCTTTGAGTGTTTCATTAATGTTTTTTGTGTCTGTGTGTGTATGTGTGTGTGTGTGTGTGTGTCTCACTAGCCTTCGTAACTCTTCTAAATGGTGACCAGGCACAGGATGCCATCCGAACTCTGCACCAGACATCAATCCGAGGCCGTGACATCACCGTCCAGCTTCAGCCCACGGACTCCCTCCTGTGCGTCACCAACCTGCCCTACACAGTCACTGCCGGCCAGTTTCAGGAGCTGGTGCGTTCCTATGGCAACATCGAGCGCTGTTTCCTGGTGTACAGTGACCTTACGGGCCACTCCAAAGGCTACGGCTTTGTGGAGTACATGAAGAAGGACTCGGCCTCCAGGGCACGGTCAGAACTCTTGGGCAAACCGCTGGGTGACCGCGCACTCATGGTGCAATGGGCTGACGTCAACCAGCTGACCTCTGCTGAACACCTCCACTCCAAGTGCCTATGCGTGGATCGCCTTCCGCTAGACTTTGAAGACTCGGAGGAGCTGGCTCACATTTTTTCAGAGAGCTACAAACCCGTCTTCTGCCAGGTGAGATGTGGGAAAAGTAGCAGTGGGCGATTTTATTCAGGCATTTCACTTCCACCGACATGACTGGAAAATAATTAGTTTATAAAACAAATAATTTTGGCTTTGAAGAAGCAAGGGAGATGGTTATTTTTTTTAATCAAACAGAGAAATTAAGTTGTTGCCATTTGCAGTCTTTTAAAGGGATAGTTCACCCCAAAAATTTAGCATTTAATTTACATCTAGGACTTTCTTTCTTCTGCTAAACACAAAAGGAGAAGGTTGGTATTGTCTCTGATGTTCAATACAATCAACATTGAGGAGGATGCAAACTGTCAGTCTCCAGAAAATGACATAAAAACACCCATAAAAGTTTGTCAGAATAGAATTAAAATATCAGCTTTTCAGTGATTTTGATTAATTGAAAAGCACCAGCTCATACATGTTATTAGTGAGAGAATCTGACTACATTGATCGTGCTGTAGTTTTTTGATTCACTTAAAATAATTGGTTTATAATGTTAATTTGTTTGAGGATGAGACTACACTGATTGCGCTGTAACATTTTGATTAAAAAGAACCATAAGAATCATTTGTTTGGTAATCAGATAACACTGAATGTGTTGTATGTTTTTGATTGACTAAAACACGCCTCATAGGAGATTTATGGAGACTAACACTTTATATTGATAGTCCCCTTTAGAGATTCTAATGACTATAAGTAACTTTGCAAGTAACTTATAATAATAATAATAATACATTCTACTTATTCTACTAACCCTACCCCTAACCCTACCAGTGTACTAATACTCTAATGAGACTTTGTTGACATGTAGGTGCAATGTTACTTGTAGTCAACATAATGTCTAAAGGGGACCATCAAAATAAAGTGTAACCAAACCGTGGCTCATAAGAGTCATTTGTTTGGGAGTCCAGCTACACTGATTGCGCTAGGTTTTTCTTATTTACTTAAAGAAATGGCTCATAAGAGTCATTTGTTTGGTAATTAGACTGAACTGTTTGCACTGCATGTTTTTGAGAACTGGCGCATAAGAGCAATTCATTCAGAATTATGACACCACCCTGATTGTGCTGTATGCTTTTGATTTGCTTAAAGGAACCAACCACCAGATAAGAGTCATTCATTTGGGAATCCAACTACACTGTGCTGGGTTTTTCTGATTCACTTGAAAAACCCAGACACTTACGACTCTTATGAAATGGCTCATAAGAGTCGTTTGCTTGGTAATCAGACTAAACTGATTGCTCTTTGTTTTTATACACTAAAAAGAACCAACTCATAATAATTCACCAAAAAAGGCTCCTATGATTAATTTTTTCATAAATCAGACTACACTGGCCACACTATTTTCATTCTGTTGAGAATAAACGTTCGAGAACCATTCTTCATTACCATCTATTGGTACTGTTTTTTTTTTTGTTTTTTTAAATGGACCCTGTTCTTAATACAAACCAGTTTTCTGTTCCCGATCTAGTCATTATAGAAGTACTAATGATCTGGCTTTATAGGTTGAGTTCTGTTGCCAGGTTTGGTGACGCGGACTTATGTGGAAACCCTGCTTCGCTTTCTCTCGCCAGTGTGTTAATAAGAGAGAGCTTTTCGCCATGCAAACCTTCTCCAGAAATCAATATCTCCCAGGAAAACTGCCTTTAAGTGCTGATGCAGGATACGGTTTCCTCAAGCTCCATCCTAATCAAAACCATTAAAGCTAAAGGGCAACACTGACTTTAGATCTGCAGTTAGGGTGAACACCAGCCAACACAGAAATCAATACGCTACACCCTCTCAATCCCATAAAGCTTTGCAGCAGCATTAAACCCATACCATCTGCTGGAGCGTTGGAGATGCATCAAGCTTTCAGGACTTTGACCTCAAATTGCATCACAGTGCTCTCAGGCCTCTTTAATACTCAAGCTTTGCTTCAAGAATCAATAATGGAGCTCTCTGAATATTGCCACCCCCCCACTACTGTACAGAAATGAGATAACTCAATGAACTGCGCAAGTGATTCAGCTCATCTGTGTGCAGGAGATGCCGGAAAACAAGATGCAAAACGTGCCTTATGTCAACAGAAAATGTCTCATCAATATTTAAGAGGTTTTAATGATCTAAAAGCTTCTTTCAAAACTGCACGGTGATTGGAAAGAGTGACTCTAGTAATGTTCTCCTAATTGAGGTTCTTCAACACAGCTGTTTCAATATAAATATAAAATAGAGTTATTTCAGGGTTTATTCTGGTGTAATAGCGCAGTGGTTATCAAACCTTTTTCAGGTGGTGGATCACTTCAATTTTTTATTTAATTTTCTAGACTGCTTTTTGGCTAGTTTCATTTAAATAAAATAGCTTATTAACCAGATAAAGCTAAATGAGCCAGCTGGCCACTGTTATGAAGTTTAATCAACATGAAGTTTAATTTGCATCCATTAACGTATAGTTTTCAGTTACTTTACTGAAGTGAGACAACAGCAAACAATCGCAAATGAATTGTTAGTTTATTAATAAGTCATTATTCAAATTACTCGGTAATAGTGCTTATTGGCATTTAAGAATACAAGTTTTTATGCTTGAAGTATTATAAAAGTACGACTTGTGCATTTTATATATATATTTAGTATTACTATTATGTAATCGGAGACGAGAAGAGATGGAAGAGGGAGGGGATGTCATTTTGATTAAAGATTATGAGGGAATGTGGATTAAAAAAACAATGATGTGCACAGATGAATAATTTATAATGAATACTGCAATATTCTATAAAAAAAAACAATAATCTAATTGACTTCATGGGAAATTTAAGTACTCAAATTTTATTAATGTACACTGTGCACGAAGGAAGGAAAGTCATACTGCATACTGCTGACATGAGGTTGAGTAAATGATGACTTTTACTGGCTTATTTGAAGTGATGACCAGGTAATGTTTGACTCTCCACAGATGCTGCAGAAGTTTATTTCTCAAAACCATTTTCATGTGATATGAAATGACAACACTCTTGAGTTTAGTTGGCAGGAAATGTCAGCTCCATTATGTGTTTGAAAATGCATCTTTTTTTCTCTCTGGCATCTCACCTCCCACTTTGTCTCTCATTCATCTTGCAGCCCCCCTCCCTTCTGTCAACTCTTTCCCTTTTGCCTTTCTTTTTGAAGGCAGTTATGTTATTAGATGACTCAGCGCGTTCATGATGGGCATATTCTGACCCTGGCACAAATGAGGGACACATACTGACAGCTGGACACACACACACACACACACACACACACACACAGTGCATCCAGATATATTTAGGTGGACGTGATTAACTCGCATATCGAGAGCATATTTGCTATTGCTTTTTTCTGTTTTTCCTCATCTATTCGTCACTCTCTCTTTGTATGTTCTCTGTTTGTTTATCTCCGTGTTTTCCTTTGGAATGGTTTAAAGGTCAACTCATCTGCTGACCTGACACCCTGAAGGCTGTCATAACACACACACACACACACACACACACACGCGCGTCACTTTTTAAGACAACCTCCTTGAAGATGGTAAACGAAAACACATAGAGTAATGTGCTTTTAAAATAAGTAACCATGAATGTTTTATGTTTAAAAATATTCATATTGATCCCATACAGATTAAGTGATCTGTTTTTTAATGCTACTGCATTATTAATGACCACATGTAGGTCATTTGAAAAATGTATACATCCGTTTGGGTGTTTGAATGCTTTTAAATGCACCCCTTATTGTTTTGCTTTGTAAGCCCGTCTAGATCGGTCCAAAGGCGTCATCCGATAGAACGGGTGAAGGTCTCTGCGTGTTACTGTCTTTCCGCGTTGCAAAGTAATTTAATTCTATTTAAGCTTTTATCTGACTCCATTTTATATCTGACTCCATTTTATCACGACCTCGAATTTAGGTTAGATTGCCTATTGGTTATTGATTGCCAATTATAGTTTAGCAATACATTTGATTGTTTTATTTAACTCTTTACTTATATTTTACCCGTTCATATTAGGAAGCTATGCCGCTCAGAGGTCTTCACGCCTTGTTTTACGTGGGTCTCACGATCACAATCTTGCCAGCTTCGGTCACTAAACAGAGGTAATTGCTATATACCTGAGATCGGTCACATTCACGCTTACACAATCAAAGATACGTTGGTATAGCCCCCATGGAATTGCATACACTTGAATTTAATGTAACGTTTACTTCAGTAGAGGTATGGCCACTACTACAGATATAAGTCAACCAACTTTACTTGTCTTATAATAGCTTTGGATTGGCCGTGCCGTGGTTTCCCACATGCACTTATCTAAATTAACATTAAATTAAAACAGAAGTAAGACACACCCAGATTTAGGTCGGTCAAGCAGCACTTTTTCTGCCCTAAACTGAAATTCACTTCTTGTCTTTGCAAAACACGTACACTTGAATTAGTGCCAAATATTAGTCGTCACTAATCTGACGCAAAACTTGCGGTAACATACGAATCCGTTTAATCTACTTGGGAAAACAATTTCAGAGTCAATCAAATGTAACAATTTATTATGTCAGGTAAATGTATCATGCCAATTTCATAATCAGTTCAAAGATAATAAATACAATAACATCAAATGCTCAGAGATAAAGAGTAAAAGAAGTAGGTTAAACCCAACATTTTGAAACATACATAATGCTGAAGTCTTTGAGATCCTTCAACATTATGGGCTGATCTGAGTTACAGAATCGCCCTGATCCTCTTGTTGCATTTCTTTATATAGACAGAAACTTCTTTCACATGGAAACATGTGCTAACAATGGGAATTTGCATTCAGAGTTTACACCTTTTAGGAGCAGAATGCCATTTGCCTGGAAGACACACCCTCCTCCTGTGTGCAAGTAATCTCTAAACTCTTACTAACTTTATTACATTTTGGTTGACTTCTTTGGTGATGAGACATTTGTACCAGTCGCACTGAGACATTTCAAATGATACCAAACATGTAATACTTTATGTATATGTGGCAGGATGGACTGTGGTT